TACGTAGTCTTACACCGGGACCAAACGGCCATCCAGTACTTCCAGGTTTTTTAATCGTGGTCTAACAATAATTTTATTCATGATTTCAATCTCCCTAACACTACAATACAAAACCAACCAAATAACACTTTAGAAAAACCAAAGACAAAAAATACGACTCATTGTGTAAATTCTTAAAATCTTGTAATTAATTGTAAAACCATAATAATAATAATAATAATAATCATAATAACAATACTAATAATATAAATAAAGGTTATCATTTGTACAAAAAAAAGATGTTCATTGTTCATCAAATTTCACTCAGTTACATATTCTCCTCTCTCTCTCTCTCCGTATTTTCTTGTGTGTGTGTGTGTGTAAAATAAGTGTACTCGTCAGAAAATTGAATTTTATATTAATTATAACTACTGTTTGTGTTTGTTTGTATTGCAACAGAAAAAGACTCAAAATAAAACACAATAACCAATCAATCAATCGATCGACCAATCAGATTGATGACAAACACACTAATCATCCAATTACATTAATGATAGTAAATTGTCTTCACATTGTTTTCGTAATTCGTCAGTTCGTAATCTATGAATCATTTTATATGAATAGTAATCACTGAAACCCAATGGAATATGCATGATACAAATAAATAAATGCATTATTGATTTATTGATCATTGCAAATTACGAGAAACGAGCAGAAAAGAGATTTTTGAAAAAAAAAACAAGGCTAACAATATCTGGTCATTTTGATGCTGATAATAATAATAATAATTAAAATGAGAAAATAGTACATACATGTGTGTATCTATATATATATCTAGAGATATTTGGATATATTAGACGGTGGAAAAAGCATTCTACAATGTGAATAAGTTCAATTTTCTAAACCTAACCATTATCCTCATTAATATCACCAAATAAGCATTAAAAAAAAAAAAAATCAATGAGGCACAAGTGACAAGAATAAAAAATAAACAACACCAACAATTCCTTAAATTCAAATTTCAATGTACAAAGTTATTTATTAACATGAAAACACATGGAAATTTCATTTGAAATGAATATTTGGGTGATATAGATAGGTGAATGACAGAATGATAGGAAACAGTGAAAATCATCAATAGAACATTGATAACAAATGAGATGATCAAAAGGTTACAGTTTGATGGGGCTTTTGTTTTTCAGTCTACTTATTTTGTCAATATCACTATGATAATTTCATTTTTTGCGCATAAATTGTTTGTAGTTAAACAACGATCGTGAAAAAGTAATCTTTGTGTGTTTATCGTGAAAATTCAGTAGTTTTTCTGTCTGGTAAACACACTAGTTGAAAATAAAATGAATTTTGAAACGGAAAAAATATATATATTTATCGATATGTACAATGATCAGTGGTCACAATCACATCTATTGAATATTGAACAGTTAGTTGTTTAAAATCATATTGTTCAATTGTTCAATCATGAACAGGGATACAAGCATTCAAGAAATATTCACCTCAATTCATTGGATAAACTTAAAATCGAATCGTGTATTTCACTATAAGGTGATAACTCAAAAACTGTTCAATTTTTTTCCTAGAAATCTTATTTATGTGTGTATGCGCCATCATATGCTTCTATATAGAAAAATCTCACTCTATATTCTCTTTTGAATAATTGGAAGAATATTGAAAGAAAAAGAATTCAGAGCGGAAAAAAAGGAATAGAAGCTATCAAAATAGATATATATATATGCATATATATTTATCAATAGAAAATTAAAAATATACACTGTTTGCCACTCAATAAAAAGTAATCATTTGTAATCAATTTCTCTGGTGAATAATTATTTAAGGAGTCAGTCAATATATATTTGTATATATCTATATATGTATGTACGTGTTTTGTTCAATGATCAATATTGACAGTTGACAAATGTTTGTTTATATTTCTTCACGTGTGTGATTATTTGATTAACAAAACAATTAAATTTAAAATGATATCCCATCACTCCCGCCACTATTTACACCACTTCCACCGGAACTTGTACTTGCACCGATTCCACCAAGACGTCTTAATGGACTAAATTCAATTGGATGTAGTCCACTAGTGTTAGTGCTGTTATTATTATTACTATTATTGGTGGTGTTCGTCATGTTATTGTGTTGATGAGTAGGTGAAGCATGTAAATGATCACATTTTGGTGGTAGACTACTTGATAACATATTATTGTTATTATTGTTATTATTACTAGGAATAGTAATACTATTATTCGTAGTACTAGTATGACACTGCTGTTGATGTTGATGTTCATGGTGATGCGGATGTGGATGTTGATGATGATGACTGGGAATACAAACATTATTAGTTTGTGGCATAGGCATTGCTCTTAGAATACGTGATATTGTTAAAACCAATTCAGCAAATGTTGGTCTATGTACACCTTCAAAATTCCAACATTGTTGCATTATACTATAGATTGATTCAGGACAACGACTTGGTCGTGATAAACGTAGACCTTGATCTAACATTGCCAAGATTTGTGCACCTTTCATATCCTAAATTTTAGAAAAAAAATATACATATATATTGATTGATTTTAGTAAAACAATTGTTTTGAATTCCACTAGGATTTTGAAGTTAAGTTATGAGTATATGATGTGATAAACCTTTATCGATTGTAGATAGTGTGTTACACTTTTTAATGTCATGAGTAAGAAAACGATTCATTCTCGTATTACTAAAATCATGGATCAATCATCGTTAGACTATCATTAGAAAACTGGATACACATGATGGCCGTTACGTCCTAGTATGGGACTCATCAGCAGTGAGGTAGCGCAAAATCCCCAGATTGATCCGAGATCCAGAGGTTAGGCGTTCGCACGCAAGACCGAATGTTCCGGGTTCGAACCCTGTGAGTTGTAGGGGTCGTGGGTGCGCACTGCTGGTGATTCCCATACCAGGGCGAAACGGCCGTCCAGTGCTTTCAGGTTTCTAATGGTGGTCTGAAAATGATTGATTCATGGTTTTCGTGATAAATAACGATCTCTATAACTTTTTATTGAAAAAAATTCATGCTCTGCATGATCTACACCTAACTCCGCCTGGAACCCTTCTGGGGTGACAGCCGATCTCAAGCCTGCCTAGTAAAGAAGGAGGGTTAACACCTTCATCCCCTAGAAATTCAACTTGCTTATGGAACACTAGTACTGGATTGTAATTTTATTTCAGTACCAACCTCCTTCACAATGAATAAAAAGAATCTAGTCAACTATGAAACTCAGGAGCATAATTTTTCACAGTGACTCAGTTACCTGAATACTAGTTACTTGAAATTTACATTCATATCAATTTCGTCCTGATGATTAAAAAATATTGTATCACTCTGATTAAATAAAGTCACTCTACTAAAAAAAAGTGTCCAATATCATGAGTGCGCACTGCTGATGAGTCCTAAAATAGGACGAAACGGCCGTTCAGCTCTTCCAGGTTTTTAATGGAAGTCTAACAACGATTCATTCATGGTTTTGGTGATAAAAAGCAATCTCCATAACTCTATAATGCAACATATCAAAATGTATCAGTTGCTCTACCAAAAAAAACGTGTCCAATGTCTACCACAACAAAAAAAAGAATGAATACACAATTTTGCGCAACTTACTCTATATGGTCGTTCACCGTAAGAATAAACTTCCCATAAAGTTATACCATAACTCCATACATCCGATTTTGAATCAAAACGAAAATAATATATACATTCTGGTGCATACCATTTTAATGGCCATTTCCCAGCTGTTGCTGCCTATCATAACAGTGTACAAAAAAAAGGGGAAAAAGAAGAGATTTCAATTGCTTTATCTTCAAGAACATTGAAATGTGAAACTTCAGTCATTTTATATTTCTCTATTGATATTTGATTTCATTACTGTTATATCTGGAGGAAAATTCAAGAAGCGGGACTAACTTTTGGGTTATTATCATGTGTTTTCGATCAGCGTTATGGAGATTAGTGTTTTCACACATTTGAAATCATGAATGAATGATTGTTAGAACCCCATTAGAAACCTTGGAGAACTGGATGGCCGTTTCGTCACGGTATGTTACTCATCAAAAGTGCGCATCCACCGCTCCTGTACCTCACAGGATTCGAACCCGAGACCCTCGGTATAGTGCGCAGACGCCTATCCTCTGAATCACTGTGCCGGCATCCAATGGTGTTAATGTCTAACTCTAATTGATCAAGGGGCTTTGCGCGACCTCGGTGGTCCAGAGGTTAAGCGTTCGCGCACAAGATCAAAAGGGTCCCGAGTTCGAATCCTGCGAGGTGCAGGAGTCGTGGGTGCGCACTGCTGATGTGTCCCATACCAGGACGAAACGGCCGTCTTTCAGTGCTTCCAAATTTCTAATGGTGGCCTAACAATGATTGGTTATTGATTATCATATATATTCTCACTATAATAAAATGAAATAACTAGATAACCGTTTATTTATATTGATTTTGTCATAAGTCATTGATTAACTCATTAACTACTGTAGTGTAATTTATTGTTCCTAACCTATCGCTAGTTTATTAACTCATAGTCTCCTCGATTCACAGCCACCTTTTGGCTTGCTTACGTGTAAATGTATCTACCGTTTTTATGACGTGGTGTGTTCTGGTATGCTTGGTACGCAAAATTATGTCGACTTGAAATATAACGAGAAATTTTTGGAGGCTAGCTTACGAACTTCTAGACTAAGTGGTATACGGTAAAGTGAAAGCTCTCGAGTTGTGTCCAAACAAGGATTCCCAGCTGACTCATGGTCACGTGATATTGATTCACGGTTAGAGATACAGAAACTACCTACTAATTTACTTATTTAATTGCTGCTCCGGCTATCAGAAGTGAAATCTGATTTGTGACTTTCAAAGTATCTCGGTTTTCACTGTGAGACGTCATCAGTCTTCTAAATGAAGGCTTTTTAACTCATACAGTAGGATTTAAATTAATAAAATGACTTTTCTCTGATTAAATTGTTTTTAGCAAGGGTTAATAAACCTATCCTCAATCCTCTCTTTTGTCCGAACTTGGGATCAGCAGTAACCACATACGGGATCCCTCTGGAGTTATGACTTCATTAGTTTAGGAGATAATTGGCAGATTTATGCATCAACTTGATGTAGTTCGTTGACTTTCTCATACCTTATATTTGGAAATATGAGAAAATCAACTGACCTATGCTCATAATGTTTTTAAAAACCATTAAACAGCTGAATGTTCAGGCTACTTTGGTTATAATCAGTCTAACGTATCACAAATGCTACTGCTTCAAAAAGCTATCGAAATGGGATAGTTTGAACACTTGCAACTTTTGAGAACATTACCATCAGATAAGTATAAAACAGTGGTAGTTAAGCTCGACAGGTGTTTCCAGGAGTGCAGATTAAAAGCCATGACGAAAATGAAGTTCAAACATGATGGTTATTGGGGACCTTGAAACGACTGAAGCTGGAAACGTGAACCAAAGGGTTCTAACTCAACACTTTGAAGGCTGAAGGCTAGATCTAGAGTTTTTAGGTTATATCTTTGGTGTAACACATGGATGATATTTAGTGCTGATTAGTGTAATACTAAAAAGGAACAGATTTAAAATACCTTATCATCTTTAGTAGTTTGTAGTGTGTGTACTAATATGTCGGGCTCATATGGCTTGTCCTAGCTTTTGTATCAACCAGTTAACCTTATCTTCCCGGAGTTACTGTTCACACGTCTTCTGTCAACAATTCGCTCATATCCTGCGTAAGTGCTTCGCTTATCACATGTCTAGCTCTTCTTGTCTGATTATAAATACATAGTCATGCTTCATTAGATTGAGTTGGCTCACTCACCTTATCCACTTCATTCAGCTTTGCTTTTACGCTTTGTGCTCTCATATCTGTCTGCATGAACAATTGGCATGAAATAAACACATCCAACTCAATCCACTTCTTAGTACCGCCAGTCGAACAATCGGAGTTCGTCAAAGTATAATGATATACAGAAACAGAAGGGAAGATTTATTTCATAGCCAACTTGATTGTTCGTACTAACTAAGGTCAGATTATCGGACACTAAAGTGGTGAGTCCTAAAATCAGTCTTTGGTACATACAACAATCTACAAATTTCCATAAAACTCTGTAAGCTAAAAATTACCCCAAAAAAAGCAGACCAAAATTTGTTTATCTCACATACCCGATAATAATCACTGCCAAAATTCAATGCTTTACTCATTCCAAAATCACTTATTTTAGCAAAATGACGTGTAACCAATAGAACATTACGAGCAGCTAAATCACGATGTACAAATTTACATGATTCCAAATAAGCCATACCTAATGCGACTTGATGCATTAATTCAGTTAATGTATGTACACTGACATCACTAAAAATAGAAAATAATGAATACATAAATAATAGGATAATGAAATGGGATTCATGAATACTTTTACTTAAATAACATAATGATTTGTAGCCCCGGAGGATGATTATCGTGTTGGTGGTGTGTCGCTCTCTGAGCTGAATGTGTTTTGATTGTAGAGTTTTCATCATTGTGGTTTTTCTGAACAACAAAATCATCAGCGGCACAAACTTCGGATAGAAGAAGTGAAGTATTTGAATTTCTCCACGTTTGAATTGTAGTTTGTTCTTTGAACCTAGATCTTGATTGGTTGCTATTGACTTTAAACTTGTCATTGTTTCTGTTACGCCTGCATGTAAACACGTCAACTTGATATACTTGAACTATTACGAGTTTACCTAGTTGGAAAACGAAAGCGAGGATCGAGGATCCAGCGACACAACATGCTACTCAAATCCGATTATCCCAACCCACATATTTAGTAAAAAATAAGAAGACATGATATGAAGTAGAACATGTATTCTACAAGCATCCAGAAAGTACGAGGTCCGAATCAAGAAGAGAATCAGGATCCCGGATTAGGGATCCGGGATCGATCCCTGGTCCTGGTCGTGGTCAAAATATGTTACAGATAATGCGCATATATTCATTTCGGTCGAATAGGAAACAGCATCAAATTCTGTGGCATTGACAGTTAAGATGACCAATAAGAGACAACACTTAAGTATTTGACTTTGACAATTAAAACGACCATAATTTTGACCAATAGAAATTGACCAATAGGATTTGACCAATAATTCTCTTAGGATATTGGATGAATATCCTAACAGTTTCCGCCTTTGTTTTGATGGGACAATGTTGTTCAGGAGAACAATGAAAGCTCCACAACCAGAACATCCAGCTCAGAGAACAAAACACTACCACAAATAACATTATAAATGAGTGGTTGAAGCATTCTATCGGTTTGTTGCAACATCGAACATAGTTTATGTGTACATCGATCGTTTGAAGTCACTAAACCTTAATTATCACAGAGTAATGAAATCTTCTGGCCAAATCCTAGAGTAACTGAGGCAGTGACAGTATCAATAGTTAAAGAAAGTATCAACCATCGATGATATGAATCAAGAAAATATAACATTAACATTTTATGAGGAATTTAGAAGTTTAAAATATAATGGAAGATTAAGAATGGATGCACCTGAGTCAATAAGATTAATTTGTAGCTCGCTCCGGTGGATGATTGTGGTGGTGTTTTGATTGTAGAGCTTTCATCATTGTGGTTTTTCTGAACAACAAAATCATCAGTGGCACAAACTTCAGATAGCAGAAGTGAAGTATATGAATTTCTCCATGTTTGACTCATAGCTTATCCTGTAAACGTCGATCTTGATTGGTTGCTATTGACTTTAAACCTGTCATTGTTTCCGCCTTTGTTTTGATGGGATGATGTTGTTCATGAGAACAATGAAAGCTACACAATCACTACAAATAACATCATAAATGAGTGGTTGAAGCATTCTGTACACATGTTGAAGTCGTCATACATTAGTTATCACAGAGAGGTGAAATCTTTCACAATGTTAGAGTAACTGAGGCAGTGACAGTATCAATAGTTAAAGAAAGTATCAACCATCGATGATATGAATCAAGAAAATATAACATGGTGAATGATACACATAAAAATTTTATGAGGAATTCAGAAGTTTAAAATATGAAGGAAGATTAAGAATGAATGCATCTGAGTCAATAAGATTAATTCCAGTTGTAACAGAGTCAAAATCACCATTTATGATGTAGCTAACCCGTTCTGTTTTCTTTCTATTTCAGGGCGATCAAACATAAACGCTTTGGAAGCTGAAGAACAAGCCCTGAGTGTTCTGAATTTACAGGATGACTCATATGACTTTGGTACACTAACCCCCCTTTTTCTGTAAAAACCGCCGCGTATTTTAAAATTTCAAATAAAAGAGTGACGTGGACGTACTTCTTGTTCTCTCTTGGTGTGAAGTGTTAAACTAACTCTGTGTGTTGCAATTTTAGATCTGATCCGCTGTTCGATGACTGCTGATAACACATCTTACACAGTCAATCCATGACATTGAGTCATTTTATTTGTTGTGTTCAGTGAAGAAGTGCCTCACACCTTATGCGACTGAACTTCATAGGTTACGCCTTCTCATTAGTAGTACATAGAGAATTTCCTTACGAAACCAGTCACTACTTGTGGGCGAACAGTTCATGAATCTCATACTAGGACAAAAGCACCATCAAGTTCTTCCAGGCTTTTAATGGTGGTCTAATAATGATCGATTCATGATTTCAATGGAAAAAAAGTTTCATCTCTTAATATGATTAGTAAATATGGAACAATCAAAAATTCCCTAATCGATAATGAGACATTGAAACCAAAACAAAAGTTTTACATCACACCTTTACAACCTATCACTATTCAATTTCGTCGTACTTATTCCTTTTCTTGTTCAATTTTAACGTTTTTACTAACTAAACAAATAATTAGCTAATGAAATCTTTATTTTTCAAACAGAATTCAATGATCAATTTGAAGTAATCCATCTTTTTTTTTTAATAAAAATCGTTTTAATAAACATACAAAATCAATTCATTTTACTTGTTTTTCTATTGAGTTAGTAGTAGTAGTAGTAGTAGGGTGAGTGTTATATTTTAAAGTGTTACATTTTCAATAAAAATTTAATTTGAAGCTTTTTTTTCAATTCAGTAAATTAAGTTGAACATTGAAAAGTGCTAGAAAAATGATCAATACTGTGGGCTTATTGGACATTGAAAAAAAAATAGGGAAGGATGACTTCATATATAACAGATCAAATTAAATGAGAATAATGAAAAAAAAGATCAAGAATTTCATGAACTTACGGTCGTTTTTTTAAATATTTATTAATTGGACCTAATGGTGCCAATTCAAGGACAAGCATAAATTGTTCTTCTTTGCATACACCTTAATTTTTAAATGATAAAAGAGAGAGAGAGATAGAGATAGAGAGAGGGTAAGATGCGGTGAGTGATGTAAGAGAAATAGTATTTGAAAGATGAAAATTACACACTTTAAATGATATGTGTCATGTATGCCCGACCGTCGACTGCCTCGATGAGCGATGGTTTGTGGTGTAAGAATAGGTTGGACGAATGTTAGGGGCGGCCAGACTAAACGATGGCAGAAATCCTTCAAGTCACTGACAAGTGGACTGTGTCATGTTGGTAGATGTAGGCTACCTGGTTGGGGTCCGCGAGATGAGAGTGACCAATGGTTATAGACCTTGAATGACATGGTTCAAAATCGTTTGCAACGGCACAGGTGCATCCACTCTTTGTGTTCTCTCAAATTCTAACCTCCAGAATTCCTCGTCATCTCTATCTTTGTTTTTCTAAAGTTATCTCACTGAATTATACTTCTTAAGTAATATCTTCGAACCCTAATCTTCTCCATAACTGCTAATAGTACTATTGTCTCTACTACTATTGGATTTGAACTAACGATTTCGTCTCTGTGCTAATGTGGTATGGTGACTTGAATTAATGGACGTACGTACTAAGTTCTGTGTTAAAACTGATCCAAGACTTTAAATGAAGAATTTTAGCATGAAATGGATGGTTAACTTCAATATAAATGAGAGAAAAAAAATACATATTAAGGATTTAGAGAGTAATACATGATCATACACGGCAAAGCAGCAGCACCGGACAACATTCTTGCTGAGATACTGAGAGTGGAAAACGCAGTAACTGAAAAGATACTTCACATTCCCTTCAACAAGATTTGAGAGAAAGAACAAGTACAAACAGACTGGAAACATGGATACCTGATCAAAATATCAAAGAAATGCGATCTCAGCAAGTGTGAGAACTACAAAGGCATCACTCTTCTCTCAATATCAGGCAAAGTCTTCAACGGAGTGTTGTTAAACAGAATTAAAGATTCCGTGCACGCCCAACTTTGAGATCAACAGGCTGGATTTCATAAGGATTGATTGTGTATGGACCAACTTACAGCATTATGGATCATTGTGGAATGCATCATTGTGTGAATGGAACTCACTGCTCTACATCAACTTCATTGACTATGAGAAAGCACTTGATTGTGTGAATAGGATAACACTATGGATGCTGCTTCGACACTACGGCGTGCCTGAGAAAATAGTCAACATCGTACGGAATTCTTACGATGGACTAAACTACGAAATCGTGCATGGAAGAGAGGTACCAGACTCGTTCGAAGTAAAGACCGGTGTCAGACAAGGTTGCTTACTCTCATCCTTTCTCTTTCTCCTGGTGATCGACTAGATTACGAAGACATTGACATCTCAGGGGTGATAGAACAAGCCAGATTCCAGATGGAGGTGGATAGGGTATACATTGAGGAAATCAACCAACTGAGTCACAAGACAAGCCCTTACTGGGAACCCTCAATGTAAGTACAATTTACGAAGACTGAATGAAACGATATCTATGAAGGAATGGTGGAAGATAAAGAGTAAATACATTCGTCATTATAACCGACCTTGAGCCATGTCTGCCAATGTCGTCGGCCAGTGAGTGAAGTCATCGCCCGAACCCTGAACAATTAATTAATACCTACATCAATATAGTTTACACTGAGAGTAAGTGATTTCATAGACTCACTCCATCACTTGGTTTGGTCCCTACCGAGAGATTGGAAGATCTTAAGTACGATTGCTGAAGTTATGAGCTCACACTACTGAGAAGTATCAATTTATTTTTCATTCGGATTGACTCTAAACAAATATCATGATTGCATTGCGGGGTTGTTGTGAAGATTGTTAAGTTTCGTTTGTAACCATGAATCGATAAATGTTAGACCACCACAAATAAAACTTAACAATCTTCACAACAACCCCGCAATGCAATGACATGTGTCCACTAGTGACTAGCTTGGTGAGGAATCTTCTCCGAGTTCTAGTGGGAAGTCGTGACCAGTGAAGTTCAAACCTGTCCGGATGTATACAGGGTATGAGGTTGCGCAACTCCGTGGATTTGATCAAGTTAGACATTAACACCGTTAGATACCGGCTCAGTGGTCTAAAGGTTAGGTCGTTCGCGCACAATGCCGAAGGTCCTGGGTTCGAATCCTGCGAGGAGCAGGGGTCGTGGATGCGCACTGCTGATGAGTCCCATAGCAGGACGAAATGGCCGTCCAGTGCTTCCAGGTTTCTAATGGTGGTCTAACATTGATCGATTCATGGTTACAGATAAAATATCATAATGTAATAGTAGGCTAACCAGTACATTGATAACCATTTATGAACATTAAAGCTGAGCTAGATTTAGTTAGATTTCAATTAAAAGCCTTTTTAATCAACGCAATAATTTAAAAAAGAAATTTTTTTTCGTCGTCACATAAAAGCACCGCATTATGTAATAAATGCTGACAGTAGATTAACTTTTTGGGAACAAAAAAGTTTTATTCTCTAAAGTTGAATAATTTAATTTTAAGGCATCCATTGTTTGTCTGAGTGACATCAATACATCTAAGTAAATTTTATGCTGCTGATAATGTTAATTGAAAAGAATAAATCAAGCTTTACAATTAAAACTATTCATCTAGAAGAGATTAAAATGCCATTTCATTTAGGCTATAAATCTTTACTGTAATCATAGATTTTAATTTTGAATCATGATTTTTATTTAAAACAACAATCTCCATTATTCTATAGTGAAAAGCAAATGATAAAACGTGCTCGCTACTGACTAGATTAGTGAGGAAATTCTTGGAGTTCTAGTGAGAAGACCAGTGGAGTTGAACCCTGTCGTGTGTGTCAAGCAGTAACTACAAAAGATAAATGGGTGAGGTTGCGCAAAATCGTTAGATTGATTGAAGTCAAACATAAATACCGTTGGATATCTGCTCAATGATAAACAGGTTAAGTGTTCGTACGCAAGACCAATATTGGTGGGTTCGAACCATGAGAGTAGAGGGAGTGGTGGTTGCGCACTGCCATTGATGAGCCATTCAGTGATTCCAAGTTTCTAATGATGGTATAATGATGATTAAATCATGATTTCAACGTAAATAAATGCAGGTTTTCAATGAAAAAAACAACTTACCAATTAATCGTACTATATGCCGATGTTTCAATTGTGCCATTGTACGTGCTTCCGATAGAATTTCACGCTAATTTTATGCATTGTTGTTAGCAAAGTAGACATTTAGTAAAAGCAGACAGAAAAGAGGAGAATTCTCTTGTTAAATTTGAAGTAAAATTTATATATATATAATAGCAATTAATACAGAATATGGTAATTTAACAAATTAACTATGCCAATCAAGTCAATATTAACACAGATTCTAGCACAAATGTTAGTTGAAC